AGATACCCGGCCTCTTAAAAAAACTGGACTCACAAATACGAAGAGATCACTCTGGGAAATAAAGCTTTGACAGCTTTGGAGCTGCTGTAGCTGTTGTAAATATTATGATATGACAGTGATTTTCCTTCCACTCCAGTGTGAGTGATATCCAACCTTCTCAATTGCGCTGCTGCCACTTTTACGCTGAATTTAATTCTAGCAGTATTTTCCGTTTTACTTCGTTTATAAAGCCCGGCTGTTCTCTCCTCCGTCTTTGACGTTTTTTTGGAGTTTGTCGGATCAGAACGTCACGCAATAAATTATGAGAGTTTAAAAAATTAGACCCCCCATTAAAGTTTCAACGTCTAGATGGGCAAAGTGAATACCCAGAATGGTGAGCTTAACTGCTGTCTTTTCTATTTTTTTTTTTAATGTCCATCTCAGGCAGTTAGCAAGATTATCCCTAAGCATGCACTGGCTTCAGTTGCGCAAATAGTTCAGGCAAGCTGGACGTGATGAAGTGGATGAAAAACCCTGTTAATTGAACTGGATTCATGGGAATCCCCGGCCTCGCCTCTTGGCAGGTCTAAGAGGGGTTTCCTAAAAAAACTAGTATCCTATGTAAATGAATAACAGTACAGACTTAACTGACCCGTGACTGATGACAGTGGATTGTACTTTAGGAATCTCTGATAGAGGGGAAATGACTCTGCTCTGGGCAAGGAGAATGAAAATATCATTGACAAATCTATCCTTGGGGAGTAAAGTGAGAGCAAAATCTAAGTATTCATTAATTTTCCAGTGGCAAACCTGACTTAAACACCTGCCTGAGGGCCGCCCCTTGAGGTCACTGCAACTATTTAAGAAGCCACTGGGGTCCAACAAAAGTGCCCAATAAGAAGGAGATGTTGGGACATAGAGGAAGGGACAGATTGGATGGACTAGGATGGATGGATGGATGTTATACTAGTCAGGCGGCGGGAAGGGTGGATGGCTGGATGTATGGGGGGAGAGCAGGCGGGGAAGGCTAAATGAATAATGAGGATGTTGAGACTGATGAGACGTGCAGTGCTGGCGTACCTCCTCCTGCGCCTCATGCTGCTGCTCTGCGGCTCCTGAACAGGGCTGCGGTCGGCTGACGGAAGTGTGGCGAACCCCGGTGCCCTTTACCCCGCCATCACCGCTCCTTTGGACTGAAAAACAAACTGCGCTTTAAGGGCTCCCCTCCTCTAATCACAACTGACACCTCGGATGTGTTTAACGTACTCACGGTCTCATCCCCACAGGCTAACCCCAAACCTGCAGGTTTTTGGTTCTCCTTCCTGCTTGCGGACTCCTCCTCTGCTCTCTCTCCTGCTCCTTGGTGTCTGTTACACACCACATTGCGTCCCTCTGCCTCACTACTTATTCAATTTATTATTATTTTTTGTTGCTTCCCCTCGCTCTTTCCACTGTTGTTTCATGAATCTCCGTCCCAGTTTATCTGCCACTCAAACAGGGTTGTGTTATTTAATGTAAAAAAAAAACAAAAAAAGAAGAAGAAAACACTAAGAGCATCCACACCCAACGGTTTTATTTTCCGGACTCTGTCCGCTGCGAGAGGGGGAAGCCGCAGTGGCGGCAGGCAGCAGGAAGTGCGGGCTGGTCCTTTGCGATGCCTCGCCGGGGTGAGGAGAGTATCAAGCAGTGAGAGCGATGGACAAAAACACAGTAAAAATAGTAGCTATCCTGCCGCCGCTCTGAGTCCCATTCACTGCCAAAAACATGTTCGACCCCGAGAGTCCTCAAGGAAAAACAAAAAACACTAGTCATCTGTCTTCACCCGTCCCCCGCTTCGGTTTGTCAGCCGCTCCTTGTTGTTTTTCCCTTCCCCACGGATCTTCCCCTCCGCGCTGTCTTTCGAGGCCGACCCAATGTCGGATTTCTCAGCCGGGCAAAAGGCAGCTGCTGGCCGCGGGCAGGCTGTCCTGTCAGACACCCGCTACACTGACGGAACTCCTACCACGTCACTGGGCATTATTGCGGAGCATCCTCACGTGACCCCAAGTTAGACTCCTCCATGTTTGCGTTGGGGGGGGGTGTGGGTGAAACAAACTCTCCATCTACACCACACACACACAACAACACCACCACACACACACCACACAACACACACGAAACAGCACCACACACCACCCACACACACACACACACATTTACAGGAACACGCCCCACTTCAAAATGTGCATAACATCACATACTGTTGTAATTAAAACTGGCTATCGGTACAGCCGGTATTAGGGGTAAACTGGGGTTAGATGTATTTTCTTTTAAAATATATATATATATATATATATATATATCTCATTTTGATATATAGCCTACACAAGAAGTCTGCATATAAATTAGAGATTAAATGAAAAATGCCTTTATACCATTTTAGATCACACCCCAGGTAATATTGTGCACATATTTAATAGTATAGCCTATGCTTATACCAAAATCATCATATTTCTTTCTGTAAGACAACATGTGATGTGTTTCTGGATGCTGGGCCTCATCATTACTGCTGCATGTCGTCCCCCCTCTCCTTTTCTGTCTATCTTCACCTGTCCAATCAAAATGCCCATGGCCATACTGTACACTAGTAGCTCCAGTCCGGCAGAGTCAGTTAACAGGACTGCCATAACTGCATGGCAACGGCACCAGTTTGGTGTGGAAGAACGTCACTGAGTTGCAAAGAGCACTGACCTTAACCCCATCCAACACCTTTGGGATGAACTGGAACGCTGACTGTAAGCCAGACCTTATCGTCCAACATCAGTGTTGGACCTCAATACTCTTGTAGCTGAATGGGAGCAAATCTCTGGAGCCAGGTCCTAAGATTGATTTTAAAACCTTCATAGAAGAGTAGACTGTCATAGCAGCAGATTCACGGCCATGAAATTACACGATCGGCAATCACATAGGTGTGATGTTTGAGGGTCTACATTCTTTTGGCCACTTAGAATATTCACGTAACATAATTAATTTTATGACCAAGCTGTTATTCGTTTTTAGTTCATTGATTGTTAACTATCGCCAAAAATAACATTTGGAAACAAAAGTGCATAACCCGACTAAGATCCTGTATGGCAGGACTGAAATGTTGTAATTCATCTGTAGGTGAAAAAGATTTTTTGTGGAGACTGCAAATGTGATTAAAAAATGAATAATAATGGCTTTAACAAATGGTGTGGGATCATCAAACATCTGCAGATAATGTCAGGACGTAATAGGGTAGTGGAGCTATCAGGGTCCATTCAGAAAAATAAAAAGCTAAAAGCTAAAGTGGATGGTATTTCTAAGTAGGAAACTCATTTCTCCCACTTTTCTGTCTTTCACATGAATGCAGCATCACTCCCTCCTTTCCTCCTCTCCCCCTCCTCCCAAACCAGCCACCCTGCTCCCCCTCTGTGGGCGGGGGAAAAAAAGGGGGATTTAACTCCATGAGAGCATGGTGGCCAGTGGTTGTCTGGTAACAGCTGGATTTGCCACCATTGTGCTCTTTGTTTAACGCTGCCTCTAATATTGCCTCACTGGACAGTACCATTTTAAAACTCATCTTTTGCCCTGTTTGTTAGATTAGTGATGCGTCATTATGCACACATGATTACCAACTATATTTAGCGTGCTTTCACATCTAGACTGACAAGACAAAAAAAAACAACAACACATGCTGGAGGTCGTTGACAGCACTGACTCTCTCCTTCCACAACAGCATGATGATGAAACCCTACCTGCCTCATTAATGACTTAAACACAATGCAAACCCTTCATCAGCCTTCAGTCATGTTTACACTCATGCAACTCCAGAGACCGGCATGTTTCTTGATAGGCGATGAAAGCTGCCTGTCTCTTTCCCTCTCTCTGTAGAAGTGGAGCAGATGGAATTATGGCTCATGCAAAAGCAGCTCTCCACTTCAGGGACAGTAAGCCGTTGGGAGAGCGGCCTTCTTGCAGCACTGTAAATATTGTAAGGTAGCACTGCAGCATAGGAGCACAGGTGACTGAATAATTAATAGGAGCTGTGTCTTTGACAGATATACTTTGGAGGCCATTAGCTCTGCTACCTGGCCGGTGAGAGCATATTTGTCAAAAGAAAGTAATGCCGGGGAGGTGATTGATTTCCTGTGGCTGCCAGGTTAGAGGGAGCGCGCCTCTGTACATTAATATCATGTGGCATCTATTAGATAGGTGACTTCCTCAACTTGTCTAGCCCGGCTGCCTCAGCAAAGACCAGCGTATCAAAATTTAAATTGTCATCATTAATTGCTAGTGCTCGGGGAGTATCTTGGAACACCACGTCTGCCTCTCTTGCCGTTACCCAGAGAAACCCAGTCTCCTGCACACAGATGCATACACATATACACAGATGTCCTCATGTACAGTAGACAAAATGCACATGCACGCTTAGCGCATTAAGGTTGAGCAAATATATAATAATAATAATAATAATAATACAGTTTACTTAAATAACACCTTTGATAACAATGTTACAAAGTGATTTACAAAAAGACCCATGCAAGGTAGATCAAATGAGAATAAGGCCATGCATTGTCCTTTTGCACAGCAGGTAAAAACTATAAAAATGAATAAGAATTAATAAATATCTTTCACAGAGAGAAAGGTTCTAAGAAGAGATTTAAATAAGTTTTAAAATAAGTTTTAATAAGTTGTTATATTTCTAGGCTTTTATAGAGCCCCCACACTATGGAACTCTCTGCCTAATGAAATCAGACACACTAACTTGTTCTGCAAATAGTTCTCTTACCTTATGATCAAAAACATTGCTCTGAAGCTCAACTGTGAGGCTGCTCCGTATGTAAATATAGTGACTTCTGATATAACTCGTATCAGTTTCAGGCTTAATTTAACGACTTCCAGATTGCCCGCTCACTTCTAGTTTAAGCACCACCCACGTCTGCTTTAAGCCCAGCCCATTCCGAGTACAGATAGTAAACTTAGTTGGCTGAACAGATACAGATAATGGTGTACTTGCCCATCCTTAATGCACACAAACCATAATATATTACTTTCCTAAAATGTTGCTGTGATGCCTCAGCAGTCAAATTATATAAACCGGACTGCAGCTCCTGTTATGTGATCTCCTTTCATCTCACAAAGTTTGAACACCCATGCCTTGAAGTGAGAAGTCAATAAAATAATGTTGTGCATGAAGTGAGGTGCTATTCACAAAATATGAGTGCTGTGAAAAAGCAAATAAAGAAAGAGACCACATTTCTTTATTGTATTTTTTGTGTGTATGTATTTTTTTTGTTTCAAACACACTTCTGACGAGTGAGAAAGTATGACAGTACAGCCCATTTCCTTTTGCAAAGCAATAAGTTCAAACGCAAATGGTCCAGCATTTGCATAGCAACCAAGAAACCCCTTCACATTTGAATAATTTCTAATTTCTATGCTTTCAGTCATGGTCAATTCACCATATTGGCAAGTTCTGAAAAGAAACGCTAACTGCCAAGGCAAATAATGCAGTTATATCTACCTATTCGCACTGTGAGTTTACCTATTTGATAAGTCAATTGCTCCTTCTTTGTTCTAATTCTTTCTGAAGCACATTTTCCTCAGGTTGTTCTGTACTTTACTTTCTCTTTTCCTCCCAGACACTGCTGGAGGAAAGAAAGGTTGGTTATCTCAGTGCTACACTACCCTATAACGCCAGTTGATGCAATGCGAGCTGTTATTGCTTCTCTTAAAGAGTGCAGTTGCAATATCCTGTGGCAGAGACTCAAGTGCAAGCAGGGATGTCTCTGAATATCTTTGCCTTCACTCGGACCCAGACCTCTGTTCAGTGAACACAAACCAGGGGTCAGCTATGTTATAGAAAAGGACAGCTTATAAAGCGTTACGTATTCACTTAATGTCATGCTATCTTGGAAACTATTCATAGCGTGAAATAACGCGGGTTTAACTTTCTTAACTTTTATTAGTCAGCTCATAACAGGAAACATTGGCTAATGTGTAGCTAAAAATAGATTTGCTGATAGCGACTGCCATTGCACCTGCAACCAACATGTTTTATTTATGCTAAATAAAAGTAATTGCACATGTCACACATACTGTATGGCACATACAGGAGGAAGCATAAAAAAATGCCTCAAATGTCACAAGAGATGCATTCAGCCACATTCATAATAAAGTGAGAATGTAATGTATGTCAGATCCATATGGAAATGCATTTTCCAGAGCAGATCCAATCAGAAAATGCATGCAATTCAAACAGTTGGCTGGCAGTTTGGATAGTAGCACGCCTGTCAAAATGAATTGTCTGGATTCTCGCAGACGGGCAACAACGGGCGTAGCGTTTACTGTCAATATATAGAGACAGCATAATGAGAGGTAGCACACATTCACATGTTTCTTCACAAGAAAGGGAAATCTGATTTCAGTCTGTATACAGGCAACACATTTTAATTCCATGTGTTAATCCATCTCAGCCATATC